CCGAGCCAGCCCGAGGGCGGACCGGGGCGGGGTCACTCACCGCGGCCGCCTCCCACCGGCTGCAGCGTCCCGGACTGCGCCCCGGCTCACTTCCGCCCGCTGCCGCCGCTCCGGCCGCGCGTCTCTATGATGGGGCCGCCAGGCTTGATGCACGAGCCCCGAGGCATCGATGGCCGCGGAGGGCCGAGCTCCTGCAGCCAGCGTCCGCAGCCTGTGGGCCTGCGCGCGCTCAGGCGCTGCTGGAACAGTGCCCCTGGCGGCCGGGCGGGGCGGTGCCGCGCGCCTGGGCCTTGGGCGAGGCCCTGGGGCCGCGGGTCTGTCTGAGACCCCAGGCTCTGGCGCCCGCCCGCCTGTTGCTGGAGGGTGCTGTACTAGGGACTTCAGGAGCCTGGTTTCCTTGGTCGAGGTTAAGACCAGTTCCTACCTATAACCCTGTTGGTCGCTTAAGGGAAATAAATGTTTAAAAGGCTGAGCACAGGCCACCAGTGGGAAGTGGGGGGGGGGTCTAGGTGTGCACGGACAAAGGGCCAGAGGTCAACTAGGACTTTGTAGGCAGGAAGTGGGCAGCTATTTTTGCCGGGAAGTGCAAGATAAAGGTCAGATGTCCAGGGCCAGGCTGGGGCTCAGGAGGAGGCTGGTGGATCAGGGCCCAGTGAGGGGGTAGGCGGGAGGCTGGACTGGACTTCCCGGCTGGGCCTGACCCCCCTCCCCTAGCCTGGGCTCCTGGGTGCACTGGATGGTGGACTCTGACCCGGGACGTGGCCTTCCTAGCCCTCGGCCGACCTTAGTCCAGGCTTGCTCCGCTGCCGCCGCCGCCACCACCATGCTAGCCCCCAGGCCCACAATCCTCTTGACCCTGCTCCTGACCCTCGGCTCGCTGGGCCAGAGGGCACGCAGGCCCCCTCGGCCACCGTCCCCCATCAGCACCATCCACCCCAAAGCCAACTTCGACACCCAGCAGGTAGAGCGGTGTGGGGAGCAAGGGCTGAACCCTGGGTTGCCCCATCTCCTTGTGTCCCCAGGGCTCCCTCACGGGACCTCGGCATCAGTTTGCAGGTAAGTGGCTCCTCGTGGCCGTGGCCTCCACGTGCCGCTTCCTGCAGGAGCAGAGCTACCGGGCAGAGGCCACATTGCTGAATGTGGCTCCCCAGGGCAAAGCCATGGCCATCAGCACCTTCCGCAAGCTGTGAGTCCCACTCCTGGCTCCCGACTTCACCCCAGGTTCCCGACCCCCACCCAGGCTCTCGCCCCTATTCTCAGCTCCTGCCCCCTGCCCCCACCTCCTGACCCCATGCCCCAGTCTCCAGACCTCTCCGCCCAGGCTCCCGACCCCACCCTGGGCTCCCAACCCCCACTCACGGTTCCCGACCCCCGCCCAGGCTCCCGACCCCACTCCCAGCTCCCGACCCCCACTCCCAGCTTGCAACCCCCACCCAGGCCCAGCTCCCGACCCCACTCCCAGCTCCTGACCCCTACCCCAGCTTCCAAACCCGTGCCTCAACCTCCAGACCTCTTAGCCCAGGCTTTGGACCCTACCCTGGGCTCCCGACCCCCGGTCAAGGTTGCTGACCCTACCCAGCTCCCGCCCCTACTCTGGGCTCATGATCCCGCCCCAGTCTGTGACCTGGAGCAGTGAGTGGTCAGTGGTAATCTGCCTTGGGTGTTCCCGCTTGGCCCCACAGGGTCAGGGGTCCCCACGCCTGCTGTGTCTTCTCTCACCGCCTCCCCCCCAGGGATGGGATCTGCTGGCAGGTGCGGCAGCTCTACAGAGACACTGGGGTCCTTGGGCGGTTCCTGCTCCAAGGTGAATGCAGGGCTGCAGGTGGGGGGTGCAGGGCAAAGTCCAAGGTGAGGGCAGGGCCGCAGGGGAAGGCGGTGTGGGGCGAAGGGAGGCTGGTGCTGACAAGGCTCTGCCCCCAGCCCAAGGTGCCCGGGGGGCTGTGGACGTGGTCGTCGGGGAGACAGACTACCGGGGCTTCGCCATCCTGTACCTAGAGCGGGCTCGGCGGCTCTCAGTGAAGTTGTATGGTGCGAGACCACGCAGGGCGCTCCCCATGCGGGAGCCCCAACTCTGCTCCCACCCAGGATGGTGGGGGAGACAGCACACACAGACATGTGGGCTGGTCTGGGCACCACAGCCCTCCCTGCTCCCACCCCTGATGCCTCAACCCAGGCATCCCAACCCCAGCACCCCAACCCCGATCCTGGTGCCCGGCACCCTGATGACACTGACCCCAGTGCCCAGACCCCAGCTCCCCAGTGCTCTGACCCTGGCACCCCAACCCTGGCACCCTGATGACACCCCAACTCTAATGTCCTGATCTTGCACCCAGATTCCAGTACCCCAATGTCTCAGCCCCAACCTCAACACCCTGAGCCTGGCACCCTGACCCTGATCCTGGTGCCCCAACCTCATAGCCCGACCCCACACCCTGACCCACTCCTGCCAGCAGAGGCCCAGGAGGAGTGGCTGCGGGTGTGGGGCAGCCAGGGTGCGTCCCAGGGCCACACAGACTCAGGTTTCCAGAGTGTCCCCGCTGTCTTCCACAGCCCGCTCGATCCCTGTGGATGACTCGGTCCTGAGCGTGTTTGAGCAGCGGGTCCAGAACGCCAGTATGACGGAAGAGCACATCGTTTTCTTCCCCAAGTACGGTGAGTGCCTCCCTCCACCCAGCACGTCCTGGTGGCCAGCTCTGACCCCCACCATCTCCCCGTGGGAGGGCTGTGGCTGCGGGGGCAGAGCTGACCCTGTCCTGGGCCCCCAGGTTTCTGCGAGTCTGCGGACCAGTTCCACCTCCTGGATGGTAAGGGTGCCACAGCTGGGGCTCGGTCAGGCAGATGAGGGATGGGGACCTGGCCCCCAAAAGCAGGGCCCAGCGGTGTACCTGGTGGGTCTGGCACATCTGGTGAGTTGGGTGTCTGTGCTGCAGAGATGAGGCAGTGAGGCCGGCAGCAGGTGAGGCTGGCAGCGAGGCCAGGTGGAAGCAGGAGGTGCCTGGTGCCTGGCATCGCTCCCAGGGAAGACCCCATGGATGAGGGGCGCCACTGCCTCCCTTGTCAGGGGCCCACCATCCTACGTGGTCCAGGGCCTCGGGGACCAGGGCGTGGCTGACGTCTTGTGGGGGGCTCTCTCCATCCCGTCTATCCCCTCACTGTTTCTGCATCCCCAGGAGCTTCTGGAACACAGCCTGATTGGGGCAGAACTGCCTTCTCATTAAACTCATTCAGACAACCTCTTATGCCCTTCTTTCCATCCTGGACCTGCGCCGGCCGAGCCTCTGCCCACGGGCACGAGCAGCCAGGCATTTCTCAAGCACCTGGGGTTGCTTCCGGGAGGATGGGCAGAGCTCCCCGCCCGAGTTCCCCCCAGCGCAGGGTCAGGGAGAAATGCCAGCCCCTCGAGTGCCCAGAAGCCGTGGTGCCCCATCTCCCCTGGCCTCAGTTCCCCGCTGCAGCTGGGCCCCACCCCAGCCTGCCCTGTGACTGGGGAGCCCACACCCAGTGGGTGGGCAGAGATGAGGCACTGCAGAGGGAAGGAAGTGACCTGGAGGGTGACTTTTTTGGGGATGCACGGGAGTACAGGGGAGTCTGAAGCAAGGAGGGAGTGGGCGCAGGACTGAAAACCGGGAGTAACTGAGACCCCGCTCTCCATACCTGCCTGCCCCAGTGATGCAGCTCCCCACTGCCCCCAACCCCTCAAAGAACTGGCCCCAGCGAACCTGCTTGTCCCTCACCAAGGGTCACCCGGCACTGGGGCAAACCTACTGAAGGAGGACTGAGGCTGGAAAAACTGACAGTGGGAGAACTAGATGTTTCGGGGAACCTGTGGGCACTTGAGAAACAGAAACAGCAGAAGCAAAACACAAAAACAAAAAGCACATCCTCGGGTCTGGACCCTCCACCGCCCCTCTTCCTTCTTCCTGCCCCCACCCCACCCAGGTTCCAGGACCGCTCATCAGGGTTGACAGCCCCATCTCCCGTGGAGCCTAAGCTGGGCTGCAGTCCAGTGGATGGGCCCTCTCCCTGTGCCCAGGGCCCAGGGGGCTCGTACGACAGGCTCAGGGCTCTGTTCCAGTCCCCTGACATGAGAGTGAGCGCACACCTGCTCTCCCCACTACCCACCCCCACCTCATCATTGTTCTCAGCTGGCTGAAGGACACGGTAACCCCAGACGGGTGTTGGGCCCCGTCTCTCAGCTCCAGTGACTCTGCAGGGCCCTCACCACTCATGCTCACCCTTGTGCCCTGGTGGGGTCTGGAGGGCACGCTGGGGGAGGCGCTTGTCTCAGGCTGTTGTCCCGAGTCTTTGCCCTTAGGCCGTCCTTCTCTTCCACCCCCACGCGAGCTGCAGGCAGGAGCCCCTCGGCCAGAGGACAGCTCGCTCCTACCACTGTCCCTTTCAGCCTCCCTCGAGGAGGCGCTGGGCACCAGCCAGGCCCTGGTGTGGGTGTGAGCCTGAAAGTCCACTGCCAACCTGCCAGGTCACTGCTGCCCACCCCACCACCCCCTAGGGCACAAGGCAGCACCCCCATCAAAGCTGCCCCTGCTGTCCTGGGGCACTGTTTGGCCTGGGACCTAGGCCTCTCTGGGGGTATCATGTGATATGAGCTGAAGTCCTCTGTGTTCTGGGCCCTGTGAACATGGGGTGGGGGCAGCCCATGGGTGGGAGGCAGGTCCTTGCCCCCGGGAGGGAGCCCAGTGTCCAGGACTTCAGCCACCAACGGATGAATAAAGGGAAGCGGGAAGTCATGTGGCCAGGAGTGGGGGTGGGAAGCATGGCTTGGGGCTCCAGGTGCGGCTGGGGGACACCTAGGAGGTGGTCTTCCCTCCATGTTCTGTCCAGTAGCTACTTTTCCTGCAGAGGACCTTGAACACCTGGGTGAGCTCAGGTCCAGCGAGTAGGGGGTCCCCCAGCCCTGCCCACTGCCACACCCCACCTACCCTCCTCAACCAAACCCCAGTCCAGGCTGGGAGGGCAGAGCACCCTGCTGGGGTGGGCCCTGCGGAGAGACCCAGTCTCAACCCCCGCCTGGTGTCCCTCTGCTGCTAGGCTCCCAGGAGAACAGAAAAGTGGGGCAGTGGGGAAGGGGCTCTAGGTGCAGCCCAGGAGGGAGAGGGCAGGAGGGCCTCCAGGCCCCACAGCCCGCAACCCCGCAAAGCTGTCATTAAAGACCATGGTGCTTGTGTCCCATGGGATGTGGCCTTAGACTGGCATGTACCCCCAGAGCCCTAGACACTGCCCAGCCTCCACTGCCCCTACGGCCCCAGGAGGACCCTGTGGCCCCAAACAGAAAGTGACCAGCTCTGCTTGGGGGGCGGGAGGCCTGTGCAATGGGCAGGTGGGTGGGTGGGCAGGAATCACCTCACACCCCTCCTCCCAGGGTGTGAGGCCGTCAGGTGGGGAGGGCCACTGAGTGCCCAGGGCCTGAGGTCCTCCAAGGCTGCCGCATCTTCGCTGGGGCAGGAGTGACAGCCCCTTGACCTCCAAGTCCCCGACTGCAAATCCAGGTGTGACAGGTACGGGGAGTCCAGGTGTGACAGGTGTGGGGAATCCAGGTGTGACAGGTGCAGAGTCCAGGTGTGACAGGTGCGGGGAATCCAGGTGTGACAGGTGCAGAGTCCAGGTGTGACAGGCGCAGAGAATCCAGGTGTGACAGGCACGGGGAGTCCAGGTGTGACAGGTGCGGAGAGTCCAGGTGTGACAGGCCTGGAGAGTCCAGGTGTGACAGGCACAGACTGTCCAGGTGTGACCGGTGCAGGGAGTCCAGGTGTGGCAGGCGTGGGGAGTCCAGGTGTGACGTGTGTGGGGAGTCCAGGTCTGATTACGAGTCGGAACCGCCAACAAAAAAAAGTCCTGGCGCAGATGGCTTCACTGGAGAACTCTACCGAACTTTCAGAGAAGAGTTAACACCACTACTACTAAAGGTATTTCAGAGCACAGAGAAGGATGGAATACTACCAAACTCCTTCTATGAAGCCACCATAACCCTGATACCAAAACCAGGTAAAGATACCACAAAAAAGGAAAATTACAGACCAATATCCCTCAGGAACATTGACGTAAAAATCCTCAACAAAATTCTAGCCAATAGAATTCAGCAATGTATCAAAAAAAATAATTCACCATGACCAAGTGGGATTTATACCAGGTACGCAGGGATGGTTCAACATTAGAAAAACAAATGTAATTCATCACATTAATAAAACAAAAGACAAGAACCACAAGATCTTATCGATCAATGCAGCAAAGGCATTTGACAAAGTCCGACACCCATTGTCATGGATTGAATTGTGTCCCCCCAAAAATGTGTGTAGCAACTTGGCTAGGTCATGATTCCCAGTATTGTATGATTGTGTAATCTAATGTGATTTCCTTATGTGTAGTAAATTCTATCACTATGATGAGATTATATGTGATCTCCTTATGTGCTGTAAATTCTATCACTGTGATGAGGTTATACTGAT